CTTTAAAAATTATTTTACTAACGCATGTCTTTAATTTGAAAAGAATATTTTGTTTTTAAAATTTTTATTAAAAAACATAAATAATTATTTTTAGTTTATACAAGTATGAATGAAGGTCATAACTATTAGTTTCAAAAAATATATTAATGTATATATATAAATTATAGTTTGTTTTACGAAAATTATATGTACAAAATTATTTCATTTTATATACCATAATTGTTTAAAAAAAATTAAACATTTACTTAGTTTAAATTTGATTTATTAATAGTCTGTGTAATATTAAACAATTATTGCAACCAGTTTTAACAATATAACACTTTAAAATAAGCGAAATATGCAAATTAACACAGAATACTTTTAAAAATTTAAATATACTTTCAAAGTCTATTTGCTATAGGCTTCAATTGCAGCTTCTCTAAATAGAACTTTTCTTATCTGAATTAATAATTACTTTTTCAATTACCGCTAATGTCAATAATTACAATATTATATACGACTAAGCAGTTTTAACGAATTAACGTTGTTATTTACATACGTTAAAAAAAATATATGTACATATATAAAAATATATATGCAATGTTTCAGTAAATATATTAATTCAATTTCTCTAAAAAGGAATTTTAATTATTTCTTTAAAAATTGAAGCAACAAATTGTGGTACGTATATAACATTTCATTTCATTAAGAAACGCCTTAAGAAAGACTACCACACAATAACAAATTACATACTAAAAAATCGCCTGAACCCGGTTTTACTATGTACTCTGTTGTTCCGTCACTGTCCTTTACTGAAACTCACTGTACCTATACGTATATATGTGAATATGTGTTAGCTTTGCATATACATATGTATGTATAGATTTTAAAACTTCAAAGTCTAAAACTAACTGCCTTATCTATGTATGCGATGTTGACATTACAAATAAAACTGTTATATTTTTGAAATTAATCGGTAAACAAAAATTAAAGCATGTACTTAAATTTGAACCCATTGAACCAATTATTTTATTTGTTTACTGTTTTATCACCGTTACAATAATAAATTTTTTTAATAATTCTATGTGATAAGAAAAGTACTTCAGATTAAATTTGTTTTTAATTTGATATTTTTATTCGATTACTAATATAATTTTTGTCTATCTATAATAAATTATACGATAAAACAACAGTTTACGTTTAAAACGTTCGACATATATTAAAATGCATATTACGAGATATAAACCAAACCTTTTTTGCTGTTTCCAGTTCCAAAATTATATATATAAAATTTTTTTTTTTAATAAACATAATTATATATATTAAGCAAAGAGGTTCAGTGATTCCAATTGATACCTGCCCTGTCACGCCATATTTGTTGACTACACAAACTTGTTATCGGCTGTCTATGAAAAAGTATATGAAATTTGTTAATCAAACACAAAACGTACACATGCATTCATATATATCTAATTGTTAGCACTTTTATTCGATATTTGAATATATCTATAGACTTTAAAACATACAACATAACAAGAGATTATTAGTTCTGCAAAGCGGATAATAAAAAAATTATTTTATCACAAATTGAACAAACCTAATTTTATAAGTAAATATTGATTTCTTAATTAAACCGATTTCATACCCAATGTATTTTATAATAGTTTATTTACGATTATTTACAATTTAATTATTTTATTTTATTTTATTTTATTTTGTTGTTTTATAGGTGAACATTTAACCGGTGAATTTCGCGATAAAGTAAATCGTTTGAGAAAGGTAAGGTTAAATGCAATCGTCATTAGAAATTAATAGTTTTGAATTATCAATAAATTTTATTGTAGCTACCCGCTATCACCGATCACGGTTTTCAATTATCAGAAGATGTGGCGATATTCAGGCATTTATCACGAGAGAAACTCGTGCCTGAACATTGGTATCCACGTAAACATCTTGGACGTAGTCGCATCGATGAATTCTTAGCTTGGCAACAAAGTAATATGGGCGTGGCATGTACTGATTTGTTTCAACAAAAATGGCTAGTACCTTATTTGGAAAAGACGCAACCAAATAATAATTCCGTAAGTTAAAATGAATTCTAAAATTTTTTTCATATATATTCAAATTTTTAATACAATTTTTTTTATTTCACTTTTAATAACTATACAAAAAAAAACAAAAAAAAAGTTTTTTTAACACTATTTTAACGACTCTTTCAACCTTGGCAATGACCGCCTTTCGTTTTTATTTCCTAAAGTTTTTTTGTGAACTTGTTTTTTTTTTTGATTTTGCTATATTTTGTTTTTAAGTACGCAAATGTATATATAATATATATTCTTACTTAATTATTTTTATATATTGTTTCTTAGGTCAATCATGCTACCAAACGTCTCGAACATACGTTAAATGACTTTGAAAAATTATTTTTGAATTCAAAAAAATTTATTATTGGTAATAATATTTCCTTTGCTGATCTCTCTGCCATCTGTGAAATTGATCAACCAAGTAAGTAGCAATATAATGTTAAATTTCCATAATAAAATTTTATTAAATTTTATTTTTACAATTTTATTTTATAGAATCAATTGGTTTCAATCCATTTAGTAATCGCGTTAAACTAGCTAGATGGTATGAATCGGTACGTGACGAATTGGGTCCTTTCTACAAGGAAGTAACCGAAGATTTTGAAAATAAACTTAAAAATGCTGAAAATAACATGGAAGCTGTTTCATTAAAACAGTAAATTATTGTTACTTAGTTTTTAATTTTTAAACGATTTTTATTTTAAAATTTTACCTAAGAAATAAGGATTTTATAAGATTTTTGTTATAAGAATATTTGTTTTCAACTATTAAACTATTGTTATATCAATTGTTTTTTATATAATATAAAAGATATTTACTTGAAAAAGTTATATCATATAAAAAAACAAAAAATATTTTTATTATACATTAATACTGAAAATTTTTTCATATTTTAATATTTAAAATATATTTTATATACTTTATACACAAATACAATAATATGGAAAAGTTCACGGGACTTAACTAATAAATGTTCTTAATATAAAAAAAAATTAAATATGACTTTTTTAATACTAAAATAATGTATAATATGATTATGAAAATAACTATTTAATTTTAAAGTAATGGTATATAATGAAAATTTCTTTTATTAGAAAAAGAGTGAAAACTCTATGATGCTAGCACTAATTGTTAGCCAAGATTTGTTTATTCTACAGCAGTGTTTTGTTAAAATGAGATAAATTACTCGAAATAATAACAAAAAAAAATTGTTTTAGAAAAATTGTGCGTTAGGAGAACTTTCATATAGCAGGTACATGTATTTCTGAGTTCTTATAGTTTCAATTTGAAGAAAATTTTACTAGATCAGATATGCTAGATATACTCAGTGATATGAATATTAGATATTGTAAACATCCTATTAAATATAAAAAAAAAATCGGCAAAAAATTTAACACATGGTATTCTTTAGAGTGAACGAGGTACTGATGCAATTATGTATCAAATTGCTGCGAAAGTTTAGCCAAAGAAGCTGACAAGAACATCCATTTCTTTTATTCGCATCCGGTTACAAACGTTTAGCTGCCGCTAATGAGAATACACCCAATGTGTTAAAAATTTTTTATCTAAAATCGATTTTATTTAATGTATTTAATTCAGAAATTGATATTAGAAAATTTAAAAAATTTTATACATTTTTTTAATATATACTTTATAAATTTCACTCTAAACAGTGATACAGTTAAACAGATCGTAAATTACAATAGATTTAAAACTTATTAAATTAATACAAAAAGCTAAAACAAGCGTATTCATTTTTTTATTAATATTGATAAAATATACATCACTAATAGTTTCGTTTTTATTTCGTTCCAACCTTAAAGAAGGTGCTTAAATATTTCAAACTGACAGTTGTGATTTTTTGATTAATGTGTACAGTTATTTCTGCATTTGCCAGTTTAGTGAATAAAATGCATTAGTGCTTTTTATATTAACATATTTGTATTTGTTTAAATTTGGTTATTTTCAATTAAATTATTATCAACAAATTTATTGAAAGCTTATTGGTTTATCTTCTAAAAAAAGGTAAGTAAAGTTTGTAATATTTTGTAAATTTCAAAAAACTTGCATTTATAAAAAAAAGGAAATTTCCCTAAAATATTTAGTGTTTTGTACTATAAAATAATATAATATAGTAATATACTTTATGATATCGAAAACGTATAAACAAAATTTGGTAAAACAAAAAAAAACGAAAACTTTGAATTAGAATTGGGCGGCAAAACTTTTAGGTTAAGTAAAAGATTACATTTTAAAAAATATGAAAATTTTTTTAATAGAATTGTTAACTTAATAGGTATAAGCATTAATAGTTAGATATCTGGTTCACAATACAAAATCAGCTGCGATAAAAGTTTATTACTTTTCAAATCAATTGCCGGTATTTTTGATAACGACCCGACACGAGCGAGTTGCATTAGCACATCGTATATTGCTTTGGATTTTGTTTATAAAAACTGGCGTTTAAAAAGACTGAACACTGCATAAGTCTTTTATGTGCCTTGCAATTAGCCTACATACCTCTATAATTGTCTAATGTTATCCTGAAAAACGATTCTTTCCTTAGGTAACCTTAGAAAATGAATTATAGCTGTGATTATGTCTGGAGATAATACGCTGCGTATTATCTCCAGAGTCGACCAGTAATCAATATCACCATAAGTAAATCAACAAAAATAATTGAAAAAACCCTTGTTTTGTATAAATTTGCATTTATTTATTAATTTATTGTTTTCGTAATTTTAAAATCTTAATATTAATATTTAAACTACTTGCAGTTCATAACTTTTACCAAACGTTATAATAACATTTATTGTGAAATTAAATTGTACACGAAGCGCATAATTACACTTAGAAAAAAACTTATTAATAATTATAAGTAAATTGTTGGCAACAAAAAGTAGTTAGTTATATGCTTATTAAAAATGTTAATTCTTGCTTAATATATTTATATATTATAAACTAATAATATCAATTGGCAATAATTTTTTTATTATATTTAATCATGGACTAAATTATGCTCAAGCGACTGAAGTTTTTTATTTCTCCTTCTTCGGAAATGATTTGTCATTTATTTAAGATGAGGTTGAGTAAAATTATTTATACAAGAACGTTTTCTTTAGTCATAATTTACTTGAAAAATTAAGAGTTTAAAATTATTTATTTCATATTATATAAATTATTCTTAAAGAAACAGAAAATTTGGTTATTTAATTAAAATATGGACGAATCAAAATTAGTAGTGATATCTCGATTAATTGAAAATATATTTTTTTCCAATTTTTTTATTAAACATTTTTTAAGAAAGCAGATCTCCATTATTAAAAAATATATATTTTTCTATTTTTTTTTTTTAAATTTATTAAGAAAGCAAATTAAAGATTTGTCGCTTAAACATTATTTTGCCCATTAAGTCAACAATTTAGTATTATATCAAATTTATAATTAAATTATGGATTTTTTATGGTTTTAATAGATATGCTAAACAATAACAGAAACTAGGAACAAATTTCAGAATCGTTGTTGTAATGATTAATTATTACATATATACTGTTTATGTGAATATAGAATAAAAGTAAAAAATTCAGAATTCATTTGATAATAAGTAAAAAAGAAAGTCACCCGCAATAATATAAAAGATAATCTATTTTATTTAATGTTTCAAATAAGCAAATTTTTTTGCTTTTCTGTTATCTATAATAAAAAATATATATTCTTGTTAAGAAAGTTTTAAATTTATATTTTTTTTTTTTGTTGGAGTCTCTAACAGGATCAAATTGTAAAAAAATATAATGCTATGTTTACACTTATATTTATCGAACCTTACTAGCACATTTTTGTATGGGTTTTGTACGATAAATGGCACTAACTGCTAAATATTTCGATACTCAGTATTGAAAAAAAGTGTTTAATAACGAAAAACAAACATTATTTTACATAATATTTGTCTAAAAATACTCCTAAGTTCAAGAAGTAATATCGATAAATAAATATCGTTTATTTCGAGTTGCTGATACATATGTTCAGATGAGTAATTTCCAGTGCAGCAAACAACATCGAAATGCAACGATTAAACATTCAACGTTTAATCAGTTTAATTTTTACAGTTGCGTTAATTTATTTAATATTATTATTATATAGCAACTATAACACGCGTAGAACTTCGCAGTTGTATTCTGCCCAAAGCATATATATCGATACTTTTAATTATCGCGCCATCGCTAATTATAAATATAAATTATTGATTGCCACAATCTTTTAGTGTAAAAGAAGCAAGCAGTTGACTTTCTTTTGAATTAAGCTATTCTTATATACATTATTTTAAACTATGTGAGAATTATAATAGCAAATCGTTACATTTACATCAATTATATGGAATAATTTACATTAATTTTAAAATTTTTAAATCTATTATATATTTTAAATTAAAATTATTTCTAAATAAATATTTTATATTATATAATTTTAACAAAAACAAAATTTTGTTTGTTAAATTGCTTGAAAATTATTTTCGTATTATCAACCTCGTATTTGTGTATTTTTTTTTTTTGTTACTACTCGAACACAATTCTTTATTCAAATACTTTTACAGTATTAAATAAATTTTATTTTATTAATGTTTTTATATTAAATTTCTTAAATGTAAAAGCATGTTGAATTTTTTTTTTTAAATTTCTACACAAATTTTTTGAGTCAATTTTTAATTTTTATGTGTGTCAAAGGCACTGCAACTGCATTATCTAAAAATTATATTGAATATTGTATTCTTCATTTTTCTTTTGATAATAGTTTGTTTTCCTATTCTCAAATATGGTAAAAAAATTATCTAACATTATCAGATTTGCTTCGATCTATACGGTCATAAGTTAAATATATCTTTTTGACTCTAGTGCACAACTCTTGTTAATTAATTGATTCCAATAACAGATCCTCTTTTTTTTTAAATATAAGAAGAAAATATTTGCAACATGAAACGAATATACCAAGTTTCAATATCTGTTCTAAGCATTGATAAAGCACAAATCTTCGTACAATAAAACCTATTGAAGTTGCTGTGCGTCTGAGCCAGTCATAATAATAATAATAGTACAACTATAGCCCTATATTATATTATTTCCAACCTCATATACATATTAAGAGAAGCACAGCTGAAAGTGAATGGTTTAAGTGGTTATTTTAGATTAGGTTGGAGAGATAACGTTGTATAGCCAAGCTCACACAAATAATAAGACGTTGTGATACCACGAATATTACAATTCATAGTTAAATCTTCTAAGTTCTAAATCCAAATTTTTTACCTCCGAACAGTGCACCTTTGAGAAACCGCAACTCACTTATTCAATTAGAATGGAATCAACCAGACAAGTCTATAAACAGTTGAAGTGGTAACAGTATTAACTTATAGTATCATTGTTTTATTCAGTTAGTTTACTGATAACTTTTATTCACGACTGCTTTATTATTTCTCAAAAACACATGTCGCCTTTTCGCGTGTGCTTAAAGGCGACGACACAATACAAAAATGACAAATAAATTAAAGGCCATGATACAATAAATCTTAATTCTAAACATATCGCCGCCTTTGATGGCTCCAGCAGACATCAACATTCAGATGGAATAGGTGCCAATTTATGGATTGCTCGGCGAACCTCTCCATTTTTTGTTTTTACATCAGCAACTCGAACCCAACCTTTAGCATCTCTTGTCACTTTCAGCACTCTCCCAATAAGCCATTGCTTAGAAGGCAAATTTTCTTCTGCAATTAACACCATATCACCTTCATTAAGGTTCTTCTGCTTCTTAGTCCATTTGACTTTCTGTTGAAGTTCATGAAGATACCCCGCCGACCACCTTCTCCAAAAATGTTGTTGTATGGCCGAAATTCGTAGCCATCTATCTTTATGAGACCATTCTTCGCTATCCACAGTAGGTTCCACAGTTCCAACCAACGGACCACCTGTTAAGAAATGTGCCGGTGTAAGAACGCTTTCATCATTTGGGTCGTTAGACAAGGTTGTCAAAGGTCTTGAATTTAAAACTGCCTCTACTTCCGTAACCACTGTTGCCAGCTCTTCAAATGTAAGATGCGATTGACCCAATATTCTAGCCAAATGATATTTTGCTGATTTTACAGCCGCTTCCCATAGTCCACCAAAGTGGGGGGATCTGGGTGGTATATGATGAAATTCAATACTATTGGCAGTACAATATTTTGAAATCTTGCCCTGTACTTGTTGATCAAAAAACTTGCATTTCATTTCCTCGAGCTCTTTACGAGTACCCACAAAATTAGTGGCATTGTCACAAAATAATTTTAAGCATAAGCCGCGTCGAGCTACAAATCTTTTTAATGAAGCCAGGAAAGCCTTTGCAGTCAAATCAGAGACCACCTCCATATGCACAGCTTTTGTGGCAAAACAAATAAAAACAGCAATATAGCTTTTTGTTGTTCTGTACCCACGAAGTAGATACGTTGTTGTAATAGGGCCGCAAAAGTCCACTCCAGTCACAGTGAACGGCCTCGCTACGGTGACTCTAGAAGAGGGTAAATCGCCCGTAATCTGATTACTCAATTTTGGATGGCATCTAAAGCATTGTAGACAACTACCAGTAATTTTGCGTATTACTCCTCTAGCATGAAATATCCAAAATCGCTGCCTAACTATAGCCATAAGCGCTTGCGTACCAGCATGCAAATATTTGAAATGAAGAAATCGTACAAAACTGCAAACTATTTCTGAGTTATTCGGTAACAAAATTTGATGTTTAGCATCATATGGCAATGCAGCCTTCGCTAATCTCCCACCAACACGTAGTAGCGGAACACCATAAGTATCTTCTACAAAAATGCTCAGATTTTTATATTTACTGTTTGCTGGCAATTCTCTATTCTTCAATAGCAGCTCAATTTCTTCTTTGAAATAATGTTGTTGCACACAGTAGAATATACGCACTAGTGCTTCATCTAATCTTTCAGTCATAGACTTAACGCTTCTTCGAAAGCCAAGAAGATTGGCAAAAATTCTTTGTAATTTTTCAAAATCGCTGAAGGTTTCAACCCACGTCACAAAAGAAGATTTCGAGTTATCCTCAGAGCATGCCTCATAAGGTATTTTTTTTTCAAATAATTAACAGTCATTATCGTACTATTACGACTCCTTTCTTGGTCAGCATTAGTATTCTTTCTAGACTTATTTGGTGGCCACTCACAACAATCTCTCTTCAAGAAAGAAGGACTTGCAAACCAAATAGAATTAGATAGTTCATCTATATACGCACCTCTTGATATTATATCCGCTGGGTTAGACTTTGAAGGAACATGCCGCCAAATATACGTTTTTGTCTGCTCTTGAATCAATGATACCCGGTTTGGCAACAAATGTGTTCCAATTTGATGGGTGCTCGCTCAGCCAATCTAGCACAATTTCGGAATCCACCCATAAATAGGTCGCGTCAATAGAAATTGAAAAATTGGATTTGGTTTTCGACACTAGTTTCGACAGCAATTCCGCAGCCAAAAGTTCCAATTTTGGTAAAGATAAAGTTTTTAATGGCGCTACTCTGGATTTAGCACTCCACAACTGCATTGTAACGTCGTTGTCCACACATATTGAGCGAATATAAATACAACACCCGAAAGCTCTTTTTGATGCATCAGCAAATCCATGCATTTCAACTCTAGCAACTCGTTTTTCTGCCAAAACAAATCGAGGCACACTTATTTTTTTGACGTCTTTTAGGGATTCATCCCAATTAGCCTTCAATATCCACAAATCTTGCATGAAAATCTTCGCCTTTACGTTTAATGGGTTAATAAGCCCAAGGGGATCAAACAACTTAGATAGTTCCGACAACACTATTCTTTTTGTCACCGCTTTCGAGCTATCAAAATCTGGCCAAACGTATCGAAACGTATCTCCCACTGGAGCTCAGATGATACCAAGAGTTTTTATTATTTCCTCATCATTCATCCGAAGAGTCTTCTCTTTATCAGTTTCAGGCACGAAATTAAGAAATTTTTCACTATTTGAAAACCACTTCCTTAACTTAAATTTTGCTGAGTTCATTATTGCTGATACTTGATTATATATTTCAAAAATTTCATCTTCATCATTTGATCCACTGATCAAATCATCCATATAAAAATCAGATAACACCTTTCTCGATCCAATCGGATATTTATCGATATAATCTTCACTTAACTGTTTTAAGCATCTTGTAGCTAAATAGGGGGCAGATGTTGTACCATAAGTAATGGTTCGCAAGCGATAGGCCTTTATGTTTTCATCTGAGGAAGACCTCCACAAAATCGTTTGATAATTCGCATCATCATCAGTCACCCATGCTTGGCGATACATTTTTGTTACATCTGCCGTAATTGCATATTTGTAACATCTAAATCGCAGTATTATATGTAGATAACAGATCATCTTGAACCAGTGGTCCTTTCATCATTACCTCATTTAATGACAAGCCACTGTCAGTTTTACAGCTACAATCGAACACAACTCGAAGTTTCGTACTCGTGGAATCTGGTCGTAGCACATACTGATGCGGTGCAAAATATTTTATCTTATTCATATCAGCTTCTTCAACGATCGTCATGTGACCTAAAGAGAGGTACTCATCCATAAATGCGTTGTAAGCGTCTCGTGTAGAGCGATCTCTACTCAACCTACGCTCTAGTGACAGCAACCGTCGTTTGGCAGCATTATAGGAACCACCCAAATCACTTACTGTTGTTTTAAATGGAATTTTCGTAATAAATCGGCCAGATGTATCTCTACGAATTGATTCCCGGAAAATTTTCTCGCATTCCTCTTCTTCTTCGGTTAAAAAATTTGATTTAGTTGAAATCTGTTCTATTTTCCAGAATTTTTCAACCAATTGACTCAAGTTTTCATTCTCATTATGGTTGTGATTGACCAGCATATTATTTATTTTATGACTAGGCGCTAAACATTCTTCTGCTTTGCCTGCAACTATCCACCCTAGTATGGATTTCTGTAGGGTTGGCAACCTTTCATTAAGATAAATTCGTCCAATCGACAACAAATCGAAGAAAATTTCCGCACCAATTAAAATATCTATACGCGCTGGCTTATTGAACATTGGATCAGCCATTTGAATATTTTTTGGTAAATTCCAGTCCGCAACATCGACATAACGATTAGGTTTGGAGCTTGTTATTTTCGGTAAGACATAAAATTGCAGACTGACTTCGAATTCATTTATTTTTGATTTGATGGTAGCCACAGTTTTTGTTTTAAAGCTAGTTACAACGTCTCCAACACAGCTAGCATCTAATTTACAAGACGTTTTTTTTAATAACAGTTTTTGAGCAACTTTCTCACACATCAAATTTACTTGAGAGCCAGAATCTAATATGGCTCGCATTTGGTGATATTTGCCAAACTTGTCCGCTACCATTACTTCGGCTGTTGCAAAAAAAACCTCGTTTTCAGTCATTACGTTCATAACTGATGACTGAGCTGTCTCCTGTGTTGACGTAGATGGCCAATTTTTGCATCTTTGTTCATTTGGCTCCAAGATATAATCTTTATGTAAAAGTTGATGATGAGATAAATTACATTTCGAGCATTTAACAGCAGAGCATTCTTTTTGAAGGTGTCCCCTTTTTAAACATGTAAAACATACCTTTATTCTCCGTGCTACGAAAAAGCGTTCTTTTAAAGAAAGCTTTATAAACTTGCTACAATCTGCAATCTCGTGGCCACTGCCATTGCAGACTTCACATAAAGGTTTTGTAACTGCAAGAGAGGTTGAGTAGTTGCGGTTATTTCTATACTCTTTTTGATAGTTTACAGCCTTTGAATTCACTTGATTAACTTTATGTTCCCTTGCCTCAAGGTTCTCACATCGCCTCGTCAAAACTGCTGAACATTCATTCCAAGTTGACAGCTTCCTGTAATCCACTGATTCTTCCCATTTGACCTGCGAATCTTCGTCCACTCTTTCCATCACCAAATGAATTAACATGGCATTCGCTATATCTTTGTAATCACCTAATGATAGCATTGCATTCAAATGTGCATTCGCTGCATTTAATACATTTCTTAAATGAACTGCAGATGGTTTTGTTAATTTTGGGACAGCAAAGAGGGCTGTAATATGTTCCTCGAACATCAACGCCTTTTTATCGAAGCATTCCTTCAATCGATCGAGTGCTTTGGGGTAATTGTCCTCTGTGACATCAAAATCGTCAATAGCTGCCAGCGGCTTAGAGCCCAAGTGCTCTTTAAGTATCAAAAATCGTTCACAGTCATCAAGCATTTCATCCTGGTTGATTAATTTATTAAACAAGGCTATAAATTTCGGAAATTCGCTATACTTCCCTTCAAATTTCGGTAATTTTACTTCCCGATGACTTCTTGGGCCCGGCAATAACGATGTTGTATTCGTTGCATTGACATCTACCAGTGATAGCTTTCTTTTTTTTAGTAAACTCATTATTTTTGCTTTCGTGGCCACAAATGCATCTTCAACTTCTGCTGTAATTGCTTCGCTTGAAGAAGTATCTGCACCTTGGTTTAGTTTATCGATATCTGCTTGCACACTCAGAAACTGTTTGAAGTAATTTTCTGTCAAACTAAGCCTGCAGTTAAGTTCTTCTGTTGACAAACTTGACCCTTTTTTCAAAATCATTGATTTTATGCGAGTGATGTTGCCTTTGGTGCTGCCTCTCAACGCCTTCAATTCCGCCATTTTCTTAGACCCTTTCTGCACGCCTCCTTGCTCCCCGTCGCTGAGTTCGTGAATTTCTGAGTCTAACATTTTGCAATTATATTTTTTTTTTTTCTGGATCACTATCCCTTTTCTGGATCACTATCCCTTTTATGGATCACTATCCCTTTTATGGATCACTATCCCGTTTATGGATCACTATCCCGGGTTTCGGCACCAATGTTTTATTCAGTTAGTTTACTGATAACTTTTATTCACGACTGCTTTATTATTTCTCAAAAACACATGTCGCCTTTTCGCGTGTGCTTAAAGGCGACGACACAATACAAAAATGACAAATAAATTAAAGGCCATGATACAATAAAT